GAGGCTCCTCTTCCTTCACCCTGGAATGGAGCCCCTACTGGAGAATTTGGAAAGAAGGTCTGGGACCATGGAGTCCTGGGTTCCAAGGGAGTGATTTTGGGGCGAGGCTTGTTTCTGCAGCTTTTCATGGGATTGGTTATGACATGGAGTGAGGCAGCCCCCTCTCCCTGTGGGGTGTGGGGCCCGGGAATCCAGGTGCCTGGGAACAGCCTCACCCACAGGTCTGGGGTTTGGGGCGGGGCTGCTACTCTCCAGGGCTGTCGAGTCACAGGTCAGCCGCTAGCCCGTCAGAGCTCAGCCAGACTCTTCCAGGGGACTCCGACTGCAGGGCCATTGGTCCTCAGTGGGGCACCCTAGAGAGGGGTCCTGGCTGGAGCTCACTCCAGTCTCAGCTGCCCACGGCCAGGATCAGAACCCAGGCTGCCTGTGGGCCTGGGTCTGGAGGGGCCCTGGGAACCCAGCACCCCCTGCTCTTGATGCCAGTGGCTCTGTGGACTCAGGACCCAAACCACTGCCCAGGACTCGGGCCAGGCACCAGGGTAAGGGACAACAGCACCCGCCTTGGGGCCGAGGATCCCATGTGGCCATGGGGAAAATTGTCCTGCCCGACAGCAATGCCACAGGTGGTCGAGGGCTGGCCAGAATCCAGGTGCCTGCAGTGGGGGGATGGGGTCTGAGTGGGGCCGCAGTAGAGGGAGCGGGGTGGCTGGGCTGCTGGACGGGTGGGAGGGGCTGTCACCTGTGTGTACTCAGCCAGATCTTGCATGTTGCTAGGCACCCACCTGCACCTCCCAGGCCCCACTGTGCACTCACCCCACGTTTGGAGTCCACTTCTGGCCACACGTGCTGGCATCCCCATGCGAGGCCACTGTCCTCGGGGTCCCTCGGCCTCTGTGAACCTCTGTGCTCCCCTAACCTGAACCCACCCCCTCACAATGGATGCAATGTGCTTGTGTTTCTGAGTGCACTTTGCGGCTTATCTAAGACGTGCAGTTCAGCGCGCTCTGGTCATGATGCAGCTAAGCCGTGGCCGTGGTCACAGCAATGCGTCCTCTCCTGTGCCTCCTATCCCTTCCCCCGGGAGCAAGGGCCGTCACTCTCCGGCACTGTGGAGACTTCACAGGCTCTGGAGTTTGACGGAAGTGGAACGGGGCTCCCTTGCCCTGCAGTGAGTTATTCTGAGGCTTGTCCAGAAATTCGCGCCCTTTGAGGCTGAGGGGCAGGCCTGGTGTAAGTGGTTCACTGCCTTATTTCTCCTCTGCTCCTCCAGAATTTCTATGGCTCCCAAGGTCACCTGTGGAAACCAGTGACCCTCCTGCATGGCTGGTGTAGATGTCAGACCACACGTGCTGTCCTCCCCATGGTCCTGAGGGGAAAGTCTTGTTCCCATCTGTATCCAAGGCCCTTGACCCTGCTGGCGCCTCGGTGTTCAGCCGAAACTCGCCCCGCTCCCTGAGGCCATCACAGACAGCGTCTGGCCCGGCACTTCCCGCATGGCCACACCGTGGACCGCACTGTCCTGTGCTACCCTGGCTGTGACGCTGCTGTCCGACCCTGCTCCCCTTGGGCCTGGCAGAGTCCCCTGCGGACCTCACTGTCTTGCGCAGCCCTGGCCCTGTGTGGAGCTCACATCCAGGCCCCCTGGAGGGACGCTTCCTCCCACTGTCCCTCCAGGCACCCTTTCTGTGCTCTCAGTGGGACTGGTGTCCCCAAGCTCTCTGCCTGCCCACAGAGCAGATGCCCATCCCCCTGCCCTCTGCGCCGGAGCCTGGTCCTCCCTGGTGCCACATCCCTGCCAGTGTCGCCTCTGTGATGCCCGCGTCCCAAGGTCTCAGCGGCTCAGAGGAAAGGGGAAACTGCTGTGGAAGCCACGTCCAGGAACACAGGCCGTGGAGGCCTTGTCCTCAGCCACTGTTTTCCTCGGAGCAAAACTGGCCCTGCTGCTCAGTCACAGATTGGCCTCCTGCCCTGCTGGAAGGCTGGCTGCAGACCCAGGCACACAGCCAGGGCGGCCTGGCTGTCTTGCTCTCCCTGAGCCCCTCGCGCCCTGCTGGGTGGAGGATGATGGTGAGGTCTTCGGACTTCTCTGCAGCAGCCAGGCTGGGAGCTACTGGCTTCCTGTTGCCCATGGCAACTGCTGTTTGGGGTAAATTGTGTCCTGCACTCCGGGCTGGCCGGATGGCAGCGTCCCATTTCCTTCCCTCGGGTCCCTGGTGAATGCTGCCCAGGGTGGGCTCTGTCAGTTTAAAGGGGAAGGAAATAGCCATGTGCCTTGGGGAGACAGCAGGGCCAAATGTTGGCTGAAAACAACTTGATACAGCACAGCCATGGAGCCTGGCTGAGTCGCACAAATGCTGTCACAGTGGAAGTCATCGCAGAACTGGAGTGGAGTCCTGTGGCCTGGTCAGCGAGGCTGGGCCTGGCAAGCCTGAATGAAGGGTGGTGCTCAGGCAGGCTCACACAGCGCGTACGCTCTGTGTGAGAACACATTCTCATGGAAGTGCTCCACAGCTTTAATGTGTCACTAACAGAATGAAGGACTGCAGAGAAATCACAGACCTTCATAAGCCGGGCTGCACCCTGGGGCCACCAGGTCTGGGGTCCTGGTCCTGGGCTTCCTGAGTGACCGTGTTTTCTCACACACCTGCAGTCCCTGCGCCTGTTTCCCAGTGAGCGACACTGAGGGACCCCAAGGTCAGTCTGGATGGGAGGTCTGGGTTCTTCAGCCCCTGTAGGCAGGATCGGACCCTGACTGTGGTGGACATGAGCAGGTCCTGCAGCAGAAGCTCGGCAGGGATGAGGCAAGGTCTGCCCTGTCAGGCCCTCCCCCAGGGCCTGCTCTGAGCCCACTGAGATGCCTCAGACCCAGCACCTCGTCCCCTGGCCTATACCTGGGCCCTGGCTCATTGCCTCTGCCTCTGGAAGTGGCTGCAGTTTGCAGAGATGCTGTGTGCCAAGCTGATTCCTCACCATCCGGGCATCACCCACACTAATAAATCACCTCCCCTCGGTGCTCTGCCTTCTGTGCATCACCACTCCCTACAAAGGGCTGAGTGGTCCTCTCTGGGGCTGGGGGCTCCAATGGGGGTGAGGTCACTATGTGGGTCACGTAGGGTCTGCTGGGGATGGAGGTCTGGGGCTGCCAGGGCCACTGTGCTCACTCTCCAGAGTCACAGGAGCCTCCACCTGGCCAAGAGGACAGAGGGATGGAAGGACAGAGGGACAGAGGGACAGAGGGACAGAGGCACGGGTCTCTCTGGGGGCCCACAGTTGGGAGGCAGCTCCAGGGCTCCTAACAGGGACTGGGGCCGCAGGCTGTGGACCTGGGAGGACACAGCCCATCCCCTCTCTGGGTCACAACTCAGTGTGTGGACGATGGAGAGGGCTGCATGGGCACAGGGTGCAGGCCCTGGGATGGGCATTTCTGGCCCAAGGCACAGGCAACCAGGGGCTCACATGGTTGTGGGCACTGGTGACTCAGAGCTGGGGCTAAGAAACAGACTCCCTCCCACCCCAGCCCTGTGAGGTCACATTTCCTGGTTATTTGGGACACTGTGTCAACTCCTGCCAAGCAGAGCCTGAACCCAGCCTGGAGCAGGAGGCAGGCACTGTGGGCACAGGACATGGCAGGGCCCCAGGCTCCGGTCTGCGTTCCACACACACCAGGTCCTGGCTGTTCCCGGCTGTTCCTGGCTGTTCCTGGCTGTGCTTGCTTCTGGGTTCCCTGTCACTTAGCCCTGGGAAGACCCTGGTACAGGATGGGAAGATGGGGAAGATTCTGAGGAAGATTTTTTTTTTGTTTTTTTTGGTACTGGGGATCGAACTTGGGACTTTGCACCTGCGAGGAGTGTGGCAGAACCACTGAGCTAAACCCCCGGGCCCCGAGGAAGATTGTGAGGAAGATCTGGCCTGCCCTGGGCCGCTCTGCTCCTTGGGGAGCTCCTAGTGCTCCTCCCTGCTCCTGTCCTCAAGGGAACTCTCCCTAAGCCTTTGGCTACACCCTGGGGTGGGGCTGGTGAAGCAGAGTTCGCACCCTGGGGCCCAGACAGAGGCCCCCACCTCTACCCTGTACCGTGGATGGGGTCAGGACCTCTGTAGATGTTCTCAGGGCCATCCCTGCCTTGGGGACAGGAGATGGGGCATGTGGAGGCCCTCCTTGGGTGATGAGGTAGGACTGGTGGACCAGAGGACATAGAACCTGCTAAGAGGGTCCTGAGATGGTGCTGTCATCTAGCCCTCAGCCCTGGGGCTTGCCTCAGGGATAAATGAGGCTCAAGGTGGCCGCCCAGAGTGGGGAAGGTCCCTTGGCCCACTGAGTGGGGAGTGAGGAGTCCAGTGGCATGGGACAGCACAGCTCAGGGGACAGGAGTGGCCCTGGTGCCCCCCAGCTCTGAGCTTGGACCCTGGTTTCCTGCCTGTGGGCTGAGGGATTTTCTCATCTGTAACATGGAATCATCCATCCCTGTGGAGATCGCAGCCTGTCAGGATCAACATCCAGGGGCTCCCAGGGTGTCTGACCTCCCTCGCTCACAGTATCTCACCCCAAGGAGGTTAAAGCCCAACACCACATGACCACAGCTGAGGTTAGGGGAGAAGCCCAGAGGTCATCCTGATCCGGGCCTGCGAGGCAGCCCAGCCTTGCCACCTTGAGTCCTCCACGGCTCCGGGGCAGAGGCTGGGCACCCTCTCCTCTTATCCCCCATGTCTGGCTATGACCCTGACCCCTCTGAGAGAGAGGACGCTCAGCCTGCAAGGCCTCCTGAGTGGTTCCTGCTGCACCTGTCCACCCTGTGGTCCCCAGAGGCCCGGACTGAGGCCTTTGGTTTCTGCTTCCTGCTGGGTGGCAGTCCCATGAGAATTCCCCTTGGTCTCACGCACCCAAGTGTCAGAGGACCTAGGCCAGCCAGACCTGGAGGGTTCTGTTGCATTGGCTGCCCACCCGGCCTTAGCTGCAGCCTGTGGGCATCTCTGAGTCTGGTTGTGACCAAAGCCGAGGTGCGTTCACATTCCAGTCTGTCTTTACTGTGGGATGGCTGAGGGTTAGTCTGTGCCAGGCGAAAGCCAGGCTGCATCCCACCTTGGCCAGGTCCTAAGACTGAAAACAGAGGTTTGAGTTAGCATGGCCACCTGGGGGCGCTGTTGATCAGCCTGCCACTGTCACTATGCTAGGCGTTCACACCAACTAGTGGCAGCCCTGAGCCAAGCTCTGAGCCCATTCTTCTTTGCCTGCCCAAGAAGTGCCAAGTCTCTCGCCTCCACTGTGAAAGAGGATGCAGGGTTGAGGGTGATTTAAATGTGCAGAGCTGATGGGGCAGGGCCTGCAGCTCCCATGCTAGCTGTTCTACCTCAGGGTATCTCACTAGTGCTGCCAGAAAGCCGCCGACACCAGGTGTCAGGGTCACTTTCTGCTGACTTGGCCAATTTTTATGACTAGTAGACCAATCAAGACACCCTCGGGGCTGCTGCCCAGCAAGCAGGACCAAGGCTCCATGGCCTCCGAATGGCACTTGTTCAACAGCTACCCACAGAAGACATCGGAGAAATCGTTATGATAAACCGGAAACTGGTAAAGGTGAGACACCCAGGTGCAGTGATCTCAGTCTTGCAAAATCCATCTTCATCTACCTGCCCTGTTTCTAGGAATGCATGAAAATCTACTGGGGGTGGGCAGACGTGGCTGGCAGCCTGGGACTGGGGGTTCCTGCCAGGCTGGGGCCCTGGATCTATGCCAAGGCCCAGTCATCTCAGCTGCTTTAGCCACATGGCTGGCACCCCTGCACGGATCTCAGCACCGCCAGACTCTGCTGAGCACTGCTGAGCCAACAGATGGCCTCTGGCAGAGCCCCCCCCCCACAGTGGCAGGAAGACCCCTCTACCCAGCTCTGGGCTTGTAACAGCTGCTGCTGCTACTCAGGGATCTGCAGCCCTGTCAGGCTGACTCTGTGGGAAGGAGGAAAGGCTCAGCTGCTGTGCCTGATCCTTAGGAGAAAGGTGTAAGCCGGGCCTCAGGGTCACGGAAGTGGCCAGGCTGAGGCCCAGAACATTTCCCAGCATGTCTTGCCACCCACGGACACTGTGACCTTTGCCCCAGAGGCGGAAGCACCAGGCTCTCCCTGAGGCCTGAGGAGGTCCACTGCACCCTGGGGACAGGAGTGAATGGGTGGCCAGCAGGGGGAGACGCACACCGGTGTTCACACTGCAGTGTGAGTCCAGGGCCCACGAGCAGAGGCCTCTACCCTGCTCTGGGCAGAGGGACGAACCAGCTATTTCCCGAAGCTTCTCTGAGCCCCTTTTCGGTTAGTGGCAGGGCAGTGGCTGGTTCAGCGCCACACGGTGGGACAAGCAGCGCCGCCTCCATTTGCCTGTGGCCCTCAAGATGCTGTCCCAGATTAGGCTTCCCACTAGGCACTGGCCTTCCTGATTGCCCACCCAGTCGGCGCCTCCCGGGGTCAAAGCAAACTGCCTAGGTGAGCTCTGCAGGCACAGCTCCCTGAGGGGCCCATCTGTGCCTGGCCAGGTGACCTCTGCATTCTCATCTGAACCCCATGAAACAGACCCCCGAGTTCCTATGGGAGCAGTGGAGACAATGAACACCCTGTCTGTGGCCCTGACCTCTGACCCCTGGGGGCCTCATCACTTGCTCCTGCTCCACTGCAAGCATATGCACTGCACACGAGTGCGTGTGCACAATTTTGGACACAATTGCTCTGTGCGACCCTATGTACTTGTGTAAGTGTGGGTGTACAGACGTGTGCAAGTGTATGGGTTACATGTGTACATGTATTTACATGTATGCACAACCTGTGTATGCTCAGGTGCCACATGAATGTGTGCACATGCATAATTCTGGACATGTACGGTCTGTATGTGATCCTAAGCACTCTACACATATACCAGCATGTAACATACACGTGTGCACAAGCATATGCTTAATGTGAGCTGCATGTACACACGTGTGAACACACATGTACCATGTATGAGAGCATGTTGCGGTATCTGACTCAGTACCTATGTGTGTGTGCACACATGTGATGCTGATGAATTACATGCATGCATATGAGTACACACATGTGCCCATGTATGCACTGCATGGTGGTGTGTATGACTGTGTATCCACACATGCACAAGTGTGCACACATAGATGTGTTAGTATCAGGGTCTGTGTGTGCATATGAATACACATGTGAACGTGCTGGGGTGGGTGCTGACAGCGTCCTTTGGGAGTGTGCTGGGTGTGGTCTCAGGGCGAGGCTGTGTTGCAAATATTGAGCTGAGCTCTGACTCAGCTGCTCAGATGGACAGGAGCAGCCCTGGTCATCTGCATCCTGTGCTCCTGCCAGAGCCCCTGAGTGGCCGTTTGGTTCCCTGTGCACCCAGCTCTGACACTCCCCAAAAGCCCAGGCTCCTGGGTCTTCCCTGGGGCTGGCACCCCGGCTGCAATCAGGCCAGGCAAGGAGCCCGCTTTGGAGCTGCACTGGGGAGGTGTGGCTGGCCTGACAGAGCACAGGGCCCCACAGCCCCCTGAAGCACCCTGGAGTTTGGGCACGGGAACCCCCTCAAGCACGGAATGGCACCTAAGACCACCCTGCACCTGCATGTCCAACTTGAGCCTCTGGTGAGAACCAGATGCCCAGGGGTGCTGATGAGGGTCACCTGCATTCCCAGCTGCCACCCCAGCTCTGGGACATGGGCACAGGTGGGTCAGTGGGCTGCTGGGAGTCATAGCCTTTCCCAGGCACCTGGCCCTGACAGACTACCCACAGGTCCTGTCCACCCTGCACCTGGCCCGTGGCTGTGTCCGGGTGGGGTGGTGCCAGTCGCTTGGCATCAGCAGCCATAGTGCCTGTGATGGGCGAGCCACCTTCCTGCCTCTTCCCTGTCTCCCAGGTCCTGCAAACTTGCCCTGTGTGTCCTTTAAAAGATGCACCAGCCTGCAGCCAGGGCTCACTCCTGGTGGCCCTGTCCTGTGTGGTTTCAGGGCTGCTCTGGGTCTCTGCCAATGTGGAACAGTCTGCCCCTCATTCCCCCCAGCTCGACCAACCCTGTGAGATGGAAGCGTAAAGGTGGGAGCCTGGCAGGGTCTTGGAGGGACAGGTGCCTGACCTGCTCCAGCACCTGCCCGGCTCAGGGTCTGGCTCAAGGTGCCTTCTCCACGGCCGCCACACCACGCTTGGTCTTCCTCCTGGTAGTGCATGGGATGCAGCACACCCAGCTGGTCTTTGTCCTGCGGGCCGAGAGTGGGTGGGTAGCAAGCCACCCGCCAGGGCCACATGGGTGCCTCAGTGGCAGTGGCCCCACCCTGAACACTCCCCGCAGTGTCTGCCACTGAGTACCAGGGCAGCTGGCAAGGGGACAGATTCCTGAAAGGGCCTGTCCTCCTATTCCAGCGGGCTCTTCAGACACAAGACACCATGACCCAACCACACCCATCCCGGCCCCCAAACCAGGGTGCAGGACAGGAGTCCCTCAAACACGGTGGTGGTGGCTCCCAGTTCCCCACTCTTCTCAGGGCCAAAGCCGCCCACGTGGGCCACTTTGCCATGGTCACTATTGCATGGATACCCAGTCCCACTGCCCTCAGGGTGAGGGCAGAGGAAAACAGCTGCAGGTGGTGGGAGAGGGAAGGAGAAGAACCAGCCCCAGTGCCTGGCCAGGCCGGACCTGCTGTGTGGCCTCCAGTGGCCAGGAGAGAGTCCTGGGGGGAGAAGGCCCAGGCCCAGACCCATAGTTCTGATGGTCCAGCCCTCAGGGCGAAAAACAAAGCTACCAGGCCCAGTGCCCTATGGCTGAATGCATCACCAAGAAATGAGAAAAAAAGACTTTCACACATGAGAAAGACCTGGGAGACCCCAGAGTTGGGAGAGTGGCCAGAGGCCAGGCCAGGTGGAGGAGGCAACACAGCAGGGAGCTTCTGAGTGAGGACACCTGGGCTCTGCACAGACGCCCTCCCCCAGCTCCAGAGCTGAAGAGTCGGAGCAGCGAGGACTCAGCACAGGGCCACTGCCAAGGCTCCACCCTGAGGACTCGTGTCTCCACAGGGCTGGAAGCACTAGAGCGGCCCTCCACTGCTCGTGGCCCTGTCCTCAGCCACCTGAAGGCCAGGTGTCAATGGAGTAGTTTCTCCAGTAAATAAGCTAGAATAGACTATGCTGCTAATTCTGAGGGGTGGGATTGGGATAATTGCCATTTTTGTTTGTATTTCTCTGTGTTGTCTGGGAAAAAAGCAAAACAGATTCACAGGCCCTGCCAGAGACAGGCATCAGGCTGGCTGGCTCCTAACATCCCTGTGGCTGAGCCTTGGGGCCTCAGGACGTCTTGGCTTTGCTGCTCCATACAGTGTCCACTGGGAGGCCTGGGTCATCAGGACCAACATGCCCTTCGTGCCAGCAGGCCTGAGCCTGTGCTAGCGTGGCCTGCCGTGCCATGACAGCTGCGTGTGGCCTCCAGTCCCCGGGACCAGGACCAGGAGCCCAAACCTGCAGGTGCCAGCGCCATCCCTCTTTACCTTCTGCTTCCTCCCCACTCCGTTCTGGCTGTGCTGCTGATGCAGCTGGGAGTGAGGTGAGCTCTGGGGAATCGGTCCCCGACCCTTGAAGGTTCGTGGCCCGGCTGCACGGCCCTCAGCTCCTCCAGCCCCAGCACGCACCGAGTCCCCTCATGCACACAGGGAGAAGAGGGCTCTGCCCACCGCACAGCCCGCGTGGTGAAAGCCCACAGGCTGCACTGAGGGTCAGCCCCACTGCCACCCAGCGCAAACCCGCAGCACCACGCACTCATCTTCCGAGAGATCCCCCGTGTCCATCTGGGCCCACATCTCCTCTCTCACGGCACGGACGGTCACCTGTGGAAGTGACAGGGAAGGCTCAGGGGATGGAGGGCCAACCTGGCCAAACAACAGGCTGGGGGCGGAGACACCACAGAGACCACCTCGGCCCTGAGCGCCCTCCCACCAGGCAGGCTCTGTTGGCCGGAAGACCCCGGCAGAGAACTCTGGCCCCACGGTGCACCCTAAGGTGGTCTTCATGGCCCCTGGACTGCAGGGCAGGGCGCTCTGGCCCTTTGGTCCAGCTCTGCTGCTGGTGACCCCCTGAAGTCCTTAGAACCCGGGGGGCCCTTGAGTAGCCTTGTGGGGAGTTAACGGCCAGTTCTTTTCAGCCTATGTTGTGGGCTGAGGGAAAAGAGGATAAAAGGTACAATCTGGAAAGGAAGGAGCTTAGACTTGCCAACAGAGCACTTCAAGGAACTTGCAAAAACGATGGCTGCTCACTACAGAACAGTCAGGAGAGAGCAGGTAGCTGTTGGAAAAGCCAGGTAAGCCAGAAGGGTCCGAGGCTCTGTTCGGAGAGTTCTACAAACAGCACTGGAGTGGTGGTGCTACTGTGTGTCCCACTCCACACGGGGAGCTTGGGAGGTCGTGGGTTTTGTTTGCTCTTGTCTTTTCGAGCAGTTAAAAGCAAAGCCCCACATTCTGCAGGCCCAGAGCTGCTAGCTCCCAAGTCAAGCCTGTCCACCCCAGCACGAATCCACAAGGTCCTGGGGGTCCATGGGCAGCTCACGGGCTGGACCCACACCAGCATAGGTGTGATGGGCGTGAGAACAAAGCCGGTGTCCCCAGGGTCCCTGACAAGCCCAATCCTCAACACCAGGGGGCGCCCCTGGAGCTGCTGGTCCTGGGTCTCTGCCTTGCCTTCCAACACAGCCTGTGAGAGAGAGGGGTGCGCTCCCAGAAGGCCTTTCTGGCCCGGCCTGGGCTGTGCAGACGCTTTCCCCACGGGCAATTTGACTTTCTCGTCGGAGGGATTTTGTCCGTACCTCTTTAGTGTGATCTCCCAGATCAATCTCCACAAATGCAGACGGTTTCTGTGGGTAGAAATGGAAGAAGGATGGCGAGCTTGGAGGAAGCAGGCCCCTTGGGACTTGGGGCAGCCAGGGTTGGGGGGTTAGCACCAGGTCCACCAGGTTCTGGCTGTGCTAGGGAGACAGCTCCTGCACAGCCAGGTGGAGGGACAATGGCAGGTGGGCTCTGAGTTCTCCATGGGGTCAACTCTGGCAGCAGCGTGTGGAGGACTGTGGCCTTCTCACCCCTCTAGCCCACCTCCCATTACGTCCCTGAGACCCCAGAGCCAATTTTGTCTTCTAAGCACCAATGCCTCCGGGTGAGAGGCAATGCCAAGACCCGGGGAGCCCCTCCTGCTCCCTGGTGCGTCACTCGGATTCTGCCTGGGCCTCTGCTTAGTGCCCACCATGCCCAGGAGGTGAGGACACACGTTGGGTGGTGTGGCCCTGTGGCTCTGTGTGCAGCTGCCCGTGGCCTCCGTCCAGGCACCCTGGCTGGCCCAGAGCCACACCAAGCGCCACATGCTGCAAAGTCCTGGTGACGTGTGTCCCTCTGTCTCCAGTCCTCCACACAGTCTGGGAGGGAGAGTAGACACCACTTCCTCTCAGGAAAGTGCCCTGTGAGAATGCCCAAGATGGATCCAGGGCCAGGGGCAGGCAGTGGAGGTCAGCTCCTCTCAGGATCCCATGCTATAGGAATGGCACTGACGGCAGCTGGACAGGAGGCCCCAGAACTGGGCTGGGAAAGAGCTTGGGCTCCAGGCTCTCAGGGAGAGGAGAGGGTGGCCCAGCCCCAAGATGACCAGCGGACCACAGGGCCACAGTGCCTGCTGGCCTAGTGGGACTCTCGCCTGACACATCTGACCTCTGCTGCTGAAGTAGGAAGCTCTTGCCTCTTTTTCCAGATGGCTGACCAGCTTTATTGGCTCCAGCTCCTGCTCCTGTGAGTCCAAGGGAGATGCCAAGGTAAGCCCCAAGGGAGATGGCGATGCTAGTCCTGACTGAGCAAGCGGACACAGGCAGCTGAGCTCAGCCTCCCTGGAGCAGCAGCCCGTGTCTTCCTCTTCCCCCTTGGTGCTGGCCTCCACTCCACGCCTCTTGGTCTCTGGCTCCATTTTCCCACTGTTGCGGTCCAGGGTTCCCTGGGCATCCTGGTCCTTCTCCTTCCTGTCTTCCTCTAGGTCTGCCTGACTGTGGGCAGGGGAAGAAGGGTCTTGGATCAGTGTCGCAGTGAGACAGCTTCAGGCGATGTCTCTTCTTCTCGGGCTCCTCCGCCACACTGGGAGTTGGGCCCTGAAAGTGGGGAGCCTCGAGACCATTCTGAAGCAAACGGTCTGGGTGCAGCAGCCCTCCCGGCCCCTTGACCACCTGTCTTGGTGGGAGAACCCTGACTTCCCATGGTGGTGGGCACCAACCTGCCTCAGCCCACTGAGATCACTTAGAGAGCAGCAGCTAACCTCACCCTCACTTGAGCCAAGACATGGCACAAGGATGTGAGCCCCATCAGCAGATGCAGGGCTCCCTGCCCAGAGGCCACAGGCAGGCAGACCAGGCCAAGACGAAAGGGAGAAACAGGAGGCATGGGGCTTTCGCACCATTTCCAACTTGGGACTTGGGTGGCTGTGGCTCTTGGCTTTGTGGACATGGGGGGACGTGTCCAGCTGTGCCACCACAAGGACAGTGGTCTTCCCAGCTCCACCCCACCCCACACCTGACCACCCCCTTCTAACCAGCCAGCTGCCCCTTCCCTGGCTTCATGGTGGCCGGGGCCCGCCCTGCCTCTGACCCTGGAGGCCTCTTATAGCAGCTGGGCCCCACCTTGCAGCAATGGTGACTTGCTGTTCCAGAGAATGTCTGGGGCAGCTCAGTGACTTCAGACCCTTTGCGGCAGGGGGAGGGGTGTGCAGAGGCCGGGTCGGCCAGGCAGCCAGATGCCACCCTCTGAGTCCTTGCCCTCCTTACTGGTCTTTGGTCGGTCATATTCATAGTGCTGCACGCCCTGCCCCAAGATGAGCCTGTGTGGGCCCAGCGGGTCCCAGTGCCTCCTCCCCAGCGGAGCGGGGGTTGTTCCTGAGATGCTGCTCTGACACCCTCTGGCCAAGCCTGCTGAGGAGGTGGGCACGGAGGTCACCACTTCCTGGCCCTAATTCTGGAGCCCTGGGGATGCCCTGGGTTCCCTGGGGGCGTCTTTTCCCAAGCCTTGGGCTGGATGGGGGCTTCAATCCTGCAGCCTGGTTCCAAACCCCACTGAGGCAGACAAGGCTGCTCACCCACTGGGGTCATTCTTGTCCGTCCTCGGGTCGTGGGCCTGATCTTCGGTCTCTGAGAATGGAGGATGGAGCTGGTCAGTGCCACTGGATGCCCACATTGCCCCTCCTGAGTTCCCGTGGCTCACCACTGTGTGGCTTCCCCAGAGTGGCCACGGACCTCCTGACCTTGCAAGTCACAGCTGAAAGGTTTCCTGCCTCAGGCACTGCAGCCCCAGGCCTCTATCCCTACAGCTGCCCTCTCTGCCCTGGGCATTTCGGCACCTTCCGTGCCTGGCCTGGAGCCTCCGGCTGCCCAGCCTGCACCCACACAGGCTGCTCCTGCCCCGTGCCCCGCATCCCTGCCCTGTGTCCCTGCTCAGTTTCTGGCATGTGTCTTCACCCTGCTCCCCGCCCTGGGTCCGGACGCTGCAGCCTCTCCGTGGGATCCATGTCAGGCACCCACTGCCCCAGTGAACAGCTAAGGCCCAGGGTCTTGAATCCCCTCATTCCAGCACAGCTGCCTGGGATCAGTGGGGACAGGAGGGGGCCTGTGCCCTAGCTTCCTCTCTGCGGGGGACAGAGGGAGGTGCAGGGTTCAGCAGGAGTTCTCCTAGCTCCTGGGTGTCTTTAGTTCTTGTCATCGGGGTCACGAGCATGTGGACCTGGCTGGGGGAGGGAGCCTTATGGGGCAGGAGGGGCAGGAAGAGCCTCCTCCAGCCCCCAGCCCACAGCTGTGCAGGGAGTTGTCTCCCAGGGACCCTGGGGGAAAGCGGGCACAGGCTTCGTGGGTTTTGATGGGATCCTGGGGGTATAGCTGGCCCTGAAGGGCTTCACACAGAGCTGGCCTGGGGACCTTGGGATGGAGGAGCCAGCACACTGTCTGTCCCGACTGCCCTGCCCACCTGCAAATGGCATCCCTGGGAGGGACGCTGGGTGCTCTGCTCGTGGGAGCTCAGCCCACCAGCTCAGCAGCCCTGGCTTGGACTGTGTCACTGTCACTTCTCAGCCCACTAATCCTGGCTCTCTGAGAAGGTGGCCCCGGGCTCCCTGCCTGTGGTGGTAGAGAAGGTGGAGAGGTGTATGGCCTTCAGAGGCTCGCTTCTAGGCCATGCTGGCCCTGGAGAGCTCTCAGGGTCACAGTCCTCCCAGCCCTTGTGACTCAGAACCCGTCACTGTTGACAGATCTTGACAGCAACGTCCCTGTGCCATGGAGGACCCAGGCTGTCTCCCACCCTGCTCCTTCCTGCAGCAATCTGGCCGGGAGACATGGAAAGCCCTCCTCACTCCATGGTCATTTTGGGTCTGCCGATGCCCTCCTGGGAGCTGCACCCTCGCCCTGGCCCCCAGTCGTCCTACCCACTAGCATCCGCCTGGGCCTCCTACCCTGTTCCCTGTGTGGCTTCCTGGGGTGGCTCGGGGGGTCCCCCTTCTGTAGCAGGCCACCCACACTCCTGCTTCTCTGCAGTTCGGGCCCCTCACTGGCCACCTTGGCGAGCCCAGGGGCTGCACCCGAGGGCAGGGCCCCGAGGCCGGGCTGGTGCCTCCTGTGTGCAGCAGGGTCCTTCTCCATCATGACCGCAGAAGGGGCCACCTGCACCACCTCAGGCGGAGGCCATGGCCAGTAACCTGGCTTGTGACCTCTTCTTCAAGGAAGCAGCCCAGCGTTGCTAGGGCCCTGCTGTGACATCACTGCAGTCAGGGGTCAGAGGTTAGCCAGCCAGCACAGGCTCCCCTGCAGGCCCAGGTTGGTGGCCTGGCTTTCTCTTTCCCTTCTAGCCCTTCTCACTTCCTGCACTGAAAAAGGGATGGAATGGGATGCCCCAGCCTGGGCCCGGCTCCGTTCCTGCTTGTCTCTCCCTGGAGAATTCAAGTTTTCTCCTTTCCTTCCAGAATCAGGAAAATGAGCCAAAGGTGGTGAGCATGGGTCCTAACTGGCAAGGCTTTTAGGGGCAAGACTTTTTGTGGGAACTGGGGTGCAGGACCACAGCTGGAAGGCCCGGCCCCGAAGGCTGGAGTTCAGGTCAAGGTATGGTGGGGCCTGCTCTGGCGAGGCCCCTCCCGATCATGCACGTGGATGCTTCCTCTTCCCTGTGTCCCCGGGGCTGCCCCTGTGGCTGGATCCTCATCACTTCCTGAAAGGACCCAGTTGTGATGACTTAAGCCTGCCCTGATGACCCATTTCACCTTCGTTTCCTCCTGAAAGTCCTTGTTTCCAAATGCCGTTGTGCTCTGTGGTCCAAGTGTTGGGACTTCAGCATCTGACTTTTGGGGCCACAACTCAGCCCTTACCCAGCCTAAGAGAGGATTCCTGGTGCCCTGTCCGGCACAGTCACCCAAGACCATGGCCTGAGAATTCAACGGTCCTAGGCTAGGGTAATAGGAGGAAGCAGGTGGAGTCAGTGTAGGTTGTTTGTGATGCTGGAGATTCAGGCCGAACTGAGGACGGGTTGCCAGCAAAGAGCACCACGAGTACGACAGGATGTGAGGAGCAAAGCCTGTGTGCAATGTCCTCCTGGCCTGGTCCTCCTGGAACCTGGGCTCAGCCCCTCCCCCAGGGAGACAGGGGTCCGAGCAGTTTCCAGCACCAATGCCTGGGGCTGAATGATGCTTCTGCCTGTGTGGTGACTTTCAGGAGGTTGTCCTGCCACCCTCGGGGACCTGTAGGTGCATTCTTCCTGTTGGCCAGTGTACCCTACTCCGTGTGGAGCCCCCCGGCATCCGGCTGTCTCCTTGGGGCAGCTGGGGGCAGCTGTCACTCCAGTCTGCACTCCCAGACGGTGCCCAGGATGGAGCTCGGAGGCACACAGAGGCCTCCTCCCTCTCCGGCAGCCACCGGTCATCTGGAGCGAGAAGAGTGGCCAGACCGGGGCTCCACAAAAGACAGCCATGACTCCCCTGCCCTGGAGACTTGGGCTTCAGGCCTGTGTCCTCTGGGGCTTAGGCCCTTCCCATCTTCCCCCGGGGCCAGCCTTCCTGCCTGCTGACCTGCCATGCTGACTCTGACTGGCATGCTCTAGTGTGAACGAGTCACCTGGCCCTGTCCACCCCTGCCATGGACACTCACCTCTGGCTGACCAGGCTGGTGGGGGCAGGGGTGCTCCCCACCCCCACCAGGGTTCAGACAAGAGGCCTGAAAAGCAGGGTGCACCTTCCCTGCCCCTCCACGCCCTCCTGTGGACAGAGGAGGCTGACCAGGAGCCTCTGTCCTTGTGCCTGAATCCTGGATGCAGGATCCCCCCAAGGAAATGTCTGAACCCCTAATGTTAGGGCTGGGGATTTAGCTCAATGGCACCGTGCCTGCCTCGAAGGTGCAAGGTCCTGAGTTCAATCCCTGGTACCGGAGTGGGGGGAACACCTGAACCCCTAATGTTCTCCTGAGAGAGCTGCCTCACTGCAGAATTAAAAAGAAAGAGCTACAAAATGAAAGCCAAATGGAGACAAAAAGGAATAAGGAAATGAGGACCCCCACCAGATGCCCAACCCAGCTATGGTCTCAACCCAGAGCCCTTTACCCTCTGCCCCAGGACAGACAGCAGCACCCTGCACCCCTGGGTGCCTTGCTCTGTGCTCAGAGCCTGACTTTGGGCTTGGTGGTGCACACTTGTCTGTCTTCCCTTCTGATGCCACAGCTCTCCTAGGGCACTGGTGGGCCTGGGTCCCACCCAGAGCCCCACAGATGGCTGCATCTGCCAGGGCCAGGGCACCTGCTGGAGAGCAGACGGCACCTATCCCTGGAGAGATGCTACCTGTGCCCAGAGACAGACTCACCTGTTGTTAGAACAGGGTCGCCCTTCACAGGCCCCGCACCCCATGTGGTTACCAGAGAGCCCTCTGCGAAGACCAAGCCATCCCAGAAAGAATACAACATCTGTTTTAATTGGCAGTAAAATACATCACAAATCATTAGTATTTTATAAATGGAAACATTAAGTTACAAATCCAAGTTAAAAACTACAGTTCGGGGCAGCCTGACGGCTGTGTGTCCAGAGTTTATTTTTATACTTTCCTCCATTACTCCTGTGACCGCACACACGGTTACTGTCTGCTCCAGGTTAAGAGTGAGCTACAGCAGTTCTGGCAGGAATGGACAGAAGCTGGCATGAGGACATGAAGCGGTGCCCAGATGGGCCTCTCCAGGTCCTCCTGCAGTGCCATGGGACACAGCTGGGAGGGGCTCCACAGAAGTGGCAGCATGGGGTCTGGCTGGAAAGGCCTGCCTTGCCCACTGGCTAGGCCTGAGGTTCCTGCTGCTCAAGTCTTCTGCACCCCACAGGGTCCCCAGAGGACTTCAGCTGGTGTTTGTGAGATGTGCCCTCTTCCATGTGTGTAGGTTTCGATGTTCTGAGTCACCTTATATCAAAGAGCAATTAAAAATGGTCCTTTAACAAAAGCTAAGAAAAACAGTTTGAAAAATGCACACTTCTATTTTTAAAATCTTCCCCAAACTATGGCAAGCATGTGGATTCTAGCTTTAAACCCTGTCCAACAGCAGAACGATGTGTGCTGGGCCCGGGGCTGAGTGGTCACCCAGAAGGGACTGGACTCACACAGGTTCCCTCGCCAGCCACTCTGAACCCCACAGGGTCCCCGGCTTGGGACCTCTGTGCTGTTCTGCATGTCCCAGGCACAACCAACAGGAGCTGGGCGGGGAGGTCGGCCCCTGGCTGCAGGGACAGCAGCTCTGTGAGGAGAGAATAATGCTGCTAAGGCCCCGGACGTGATGAAGTGGAAATTCGAGACTGGGGCCACACGGGTGCAGAGACCAGCAGGGCACAGTCAGAGACGGAAGCACAGCTCTGCTCGAGGCAGGGGTTGTGCAGGCCGGACTGGCCGTGGCTCGGGGCAGGAACCAGTGTGGCTGTAGGAAAGTCCACACTTCCTGATCGCTCAGCTGATCCCTGGATCCCACTAAACCAAAGTGAGCAATAAGGCAAACAAGCCCATGCTCCAGCAAGGCCAGGGCCACCTGCCTCTGGCAGACAGTAAGGCGCACGGCAGCTGTCTCTTGGTTCTGGAGGGGACATAAGCAGCCCCGAGGCACCACCAGCCCGATGGTCCCATGTGCACTGGAGACCAGGAGCCTCTGATGTGCATTCTGCCCGCTCCGCTCTTCTGGCCTTAGGGAGGTCGGTGCATCCTGGTGTGGCTCGCTGGTGCGCCCTGGGAGCACTGTGAGCCTCACATGGAATGGGTGGAGACCTCCGACTGCTGCCTGATGTAGTTCTGGAAGCTCTTGTCTCCGATGGGATGCTCCCTGCGGGGGTGGGGGAAGAGCGTGAGGCACCCCCCCCCCATACCTGGTGTCCCAGTGCTCTGTAGCAGTTTTTACCTATTTATACACAGGGTACATGTCCATTGTGATCAGCAAAGGCAAGGGCAGAGTCCAAACCCCTCTGACTTTGGTGTGCATGGCGGCATATGTGTACGTGTCATGTAAGTGGACATGTGCAGATTGTGGGTAAAGTATGCACACGTGCAGAATGTGTACATGTAAGATGTGTGTGCACAGATGCAGGCTGTACATGGAGTGCCTGTGCTGCAGATGTGCACAGACTGCACTGCAAAGTGTGTGTGCACGTGTGGACTGTGTGTGGGCTGTGCACCTGGACAGCCTGTCTGTGTGCACTGCATAGGTGTGCAGCACAGGCAGAGCACATGCATGTGAGTGCAGTGAGCCCCAGGAGGCTCATTCTGCCCCTGGGTGCTGCTGCTGTGGCTCTGGGCTCCTTCTGAGGTGTTGGGAGCCAGGACAGGAAGCCCAGGAACAAGGGCAGAGCCAGCACCCAGAAGGTGCTCAGCTTGAGGCCATGGGCAGCCTGGGCCTGGGAGACACCAGTGCCATCTCTGACCCTGACACTGAGGGCAAGGCACATGGATGCAGGGGTCCAGGGCTGACCCATCTTCCCAAGCCTGGACACGACTGGACAGAAATGGTGCCACGGATACCTGCTCACCCAGGCCAGGGCTTCCCCAGCCTCTGTGCCTCTTGACTCAGTTCTACCTGCTGTTCCGTGGAGCAGATGCATGCAGCTTAGCCTGCCCTAGCCTCTCGGGCTGTAGCTGGTGACCGGGCTGAGCAGCCTGCCTGGGCAAGTCCTCCTTGCTACAGCCCCAGCCCTCCTACCTCAGGACAGGAATGTGGCCAGTCCACAGTCATTTCTGTGCCCAGTGCTTTGGTGGCATGTGACACGGGTGGCAGATGGGACCTGGCCAAGATCCAGTGAGGCCTTGGGGCCGAGACATGGGCCAGAGGGTCTGAGAAGTGTTGCCTCAGGACCAGGCAGCACCTGCCCTGCAGCCCTGTACTCACTGGCTCCCATAGCGCGTCTTCTTGAACTTGTCCCTGCGGTGCTGTGCGTGCTCCTGTTCCAGGGCCACCACACTGGCGATGACCTGCTTCAGTGTCTTGTAGGTCTCCTGGGGGTCGTCGATGAGAAAGGTGGAGTACTCCTCCTGCTCGGGGCCATCGTACACGGCCTTGCTGCCGCAGGCCTCTGTGGAGCAGCACGAGGTCAGGGGGGGTGTTAGCACCGCCCTTCTGCCCTGTCTGCTCAGCCTGAGTGCAGCCCGGCTCCAGAGTAGTCTCTCCAAGAAAGGCTGCCACTCAAACAAAGCAGTTAGGGCTGGGGAGCTGTGTCCTCACAGCCAG